GTTATAGACAAATAGTAAACACCTCACAAATGTTACAGACAAATAGTAAACACCTCACAAATGTTACAGACAAATAGTAAACACCTCACAAATGTTACAGACAAATAGTAAACATCTCACAAATGTTACAGACAATAGTAAACATCTCACAAATGTTACAGACAAATAGAAAACATCTCAAACATGTTAGACAAATAGAAAACATCTAAAAAATGTTAGACAAATAGTAAACATCTCACAAATGTTACAGACAAATAGTAAACATCTCAAAAATGTTACAGACAAATAGTGAACATCTCACAAATGTTACAGACAAATAGTAAACATCTCACAAATGTTACAGACAAATAGTAAACATCTCACAAATGTTACAGACAAATAGTAAACATCTCACAAATGTTACAGACAACAGTAAACATCTCACAAATGTTACAGACAACAGTAAACATCTCACAAATGTTACAAACAAATAGTAAACATCTCACAAATGTTACAGACAAATAGTAAACACCTCACAAATGTTACAGACAAATAGTAAACACCTCACAAATGTTACAGACAAATAGTAAATATCTCACAAATGTTACAGACAAATAGTAAACATCTAACAAATGTTATAGACAAATAGTAAACATCTCATAGTAAACATCTCACAAATGTTACAGACAAATAGTAAACATCTCACAAATGTTACAGACAAATAGTAAACATCTCACAAATGTTACAGACAAATAGTAAACATCTCACAAATGTTACAGACAAATTGTAAACATCTAACAAATGTTACAGGTAAATAGTAAACATCTCACAAATGTTACAGACAGATAGTAAACATCTCACAAATGTTACAGACAAATAGTAAACATCTCACAAATGTTACAGACAAATAGTAAACATCTAACAAATGTTACAGGTAAATAGTAAACATCTCACAAATGTTACAGACAGATAGTAAACATCTCACAAATGAGCTACACATAGTAATTTTATTTTGAATTTCATTTTCCTTTCACCTCAGTTCTGAAACCAAGCTGTAATGACTTTTGTCAACTTGTTTATTTAGGAAGTAAATATATTTCTTTAAATAGCTTCCCCTAATTTCATAGAAAAATAATGACACTACAAACTCTGATACATTGCAAAATCATAACTCTACAATGATGAACTCACCAGCTCTTCTTCAGATTGGTTGTTTGGGTCTACTGGTGGTAGTAATGGTCGAGATTTTGAGGAAAACAAGAAGCTAGAGGTAATGGCCGCTGCTCCTGTAACTGCAGCTATACCTACTACACCACCAATGTACCTAATATAGTCATCCATTATCCCTAAAACTGTTGAATAATAAGTTTCATAAATTAAAATTTACAATAAATGCCTTGCACTATACACCTATATTACAGAATTTTTTATGTACGAAGTTAGAAAAATACAGCAAAAACCTTAATACTTTTTTTTTGCATGAAATAAATTTTGATTGGAAAACTTATTATTGATTGATTTAGATGCACAATTACAATAATACTAATCACAGTAAATCAGGAATTATCAAACCTCAAACTTACAATGAACATCTATCACCATGATGTTTGTTTTTATTAGAACATAGCTACACAATGGGCTACCAAAGATATCAAAACCCAAATTTTAACATCATGAGCCCTCAGACTTACCAATGAGCCACAGGGGGCTCCTCATCATAATGAATCATGAACAGTATAGTATAACTATAATACAGTATAAGTTAACTATAAGTATAACTTAAGTTAATAAACTTAATGCAATTTGCAAGTCTTAATAAGCAAGACAATAATAAAATATCACTTAATATTAATAATACTTAACAATATAATTATTCTCCAATATATGGAGTATCACAAACACCATTAGCTATAATAACAAAATTTCAAATAATAGATACTTATATAAAGTTATACTATAGTTATGCTACCAATATCATTATCAGTAAAAATTATTTACTTAGTTCTTGAAACTTCTTCTAATTCAGAAGGAAACTAGACTCAATGAAGTTTTAAGAAATAGAACACTTCAATTTTTATCGATACTACCACTGTGTTTACTCATAACATAAAGCGTTAAAAATACAAAGTAAATATTTTTATTTTACTTCATAGATAACACAAACATCAACAATTTGAATGACGCCTACGTTAGGCCTATGATTACGTGTCTCTATAATACTTAGAAGTTAGACTAGAACTTACGAAATTTTGTAAAATTGTTACCAATAAAATTTTATAAAAAATAATGAATAACAACAGACAATTCTTAAAATTAGAAAAATTGTTACATTAAATTTACTGTCTTACTTGTACTTTGTAGTCTGTTTTGCACCTCGAAAGTTACAGTAGCACTATTCTTACTTTCGAATCTTAACAACTGCGAGACAGCACCGGTGGCGTGACCTAGCGCGTTTCCCAGCGTGCTTTGCAGGTAAACTAACAGAAAGCAAACAACCGACGAAAATTTGTTTTCACGCGTACGCTCGAAGTATCAGTGCAAAGGTCTCGGGATCGTACTTTATTAATAAAACTTACCTTGAACTTTATTTATGGATCTTTTACAAAATAGCGATAATACGAAACAAGCTCATTTGTATTTAATTGTTATTCATTCATAAACATGCTTTTATGCATAGATGTTACACCATGAATGTCAAATAGGTAATAAACAGGTAATCACATCGCTGTAAAGAAATTTCTCCCTTTATAAACAACAAATAAACACCAACATAACTAAATTCCATATTATCATACCTGTTTGAGAACAATTTAAGCTAATACAAACATCATCAAAGTTAACAATTCCGAGAGAAAGGGCTTAGTAGCTACGGTACTCGACTTGGAATGTGAGGGTCGCTGGTTTGAGTCCGCGTTACTAAACATTATCGCCCATTCAGCCGTAGGGCGTTATATTCGGCAGTCAATCCCATTATTCGTTGGTAAAAGAGTAGCCCAATGATTAGCAGTGGTTGGTGTTGACTGCTGTATTAAGTACGGCTATTGCAGCTAGCTCTCGAATAGCTTTACGCGAAATCCAAACCAAACCCAATCTAGAGGAAGAACACCTAAGGGAATTTATTTTTAAAGCTTATATTTGTATCTGTTGTTACATTTACCTTTATAACTTTTAATGAATCGCTCAGAAACCAGGATTGTGCCCGATTCACCTGTCAATAACATGTTTTGGATTTTCTTTCCCAGTAGATAAATCGAGTGAACCAGAACAGGAGTTAGCACTTCCAATATGGCGGAGAAGGCATCAGTCCTCCTTGTTTTCAGTTATAAGTAGAGTTTGATAATGATGGTCAGCAGAATTATGACAAAGCTGTCCAAGATTTATTTCTAGAGTTAACCCTTGTTTTGTAAGTGACTAAAATAATTATTACGTTTTACAATCAAGCTGTTGTAGAGAAAAGCAAAAAAATATATATTTGCAAAATATTGTTGCGTCAGCGAGTCACATGACTACTATGACGCAACGTTTCTAGAACTATCATGTACTTTGTCGAATGTTCAA